CACAAATCTTGTACTAAAACTGAATCTACTTCACAACAAACTTCCTCTTATGTTACTCAACAAGGGTCTTCTACCAGTACAGATACATTTATTCAAAAATTACAACAAATATTACATGAATACAGACCTAATAACCCTTTGTTCTCTGGACTTGGCCCTCTTACTTCAACCGAACGAGAAGATAATATTAATGACAACATGGATATTGATAATAATCCTACAGCTAATAACACCAACACTACACAGAAACAACAAAATACTAACATCAATACACAATAACAACAATCTTACTCACAACAACCAGAACAACAATCAGAGAAAACTATAGAAACTCAACAAAATACCAATACCTTGCCTAACTTCAATCAACAAAATACTAACATATCGGCCTGATCGGTTTTTAGGGTTAAAAAATTATAGTATAGCACCCCAAAATTGATTAGTATATTGTTTAAAACGTACACCATTTTAATATCATGTGAGCATGAAAATCATTTAGATAGAACCTTAAAAATATTTATTTACTATTAAAAATATAAGCAAATGCGCTAGAACCCATCGTTCAAAGTTCCAACCCATCATTTTTTTTTAATAGGTATATAGTATGCTAGAATTTATAGTTATATATGTTTTATTATATATATTAACTATTTAAATATTTAGTTATGTCTAATTCTATTAGCACTTCAAGATTTACTTGCACTCTTTGTACGCATTTACGATCTTATAAAACTCAATGTGGTCTTCAACGTCATAAAACAATAAAACACAAAGAACATAATATACTACCTTCTCATATATTATTATTACCTAACTATGAGCTTGATCATATTAAAAAAGTTATGGTCCGGGAAATTCAAAAGCATCTAAAAAAGCATCATCATACTGTTGTAAATCAGATTTTTTCTTTACATTGTAATGAAAATGCCTTTGTAGGAATATTTGGTAAATATCTTACACGATATTCTCCATGTGATAATTTTTATCAATATCATTTTAGCGGAGACAATTCATATAATATATTAACAAATATTTTTAATGATGCTATGTGGGGAGAACGAGATTATGGTAACGGTCAACTTAGTTGGGTTAAATTAGTAGATGAAATGAATTGTA